ACTTTGAACGGCCTCTTGAACGGCTGTAAGTCGGGGACTGTCTGGCCTCCTTTCTTGCCCTCTGCAGGGTCCCTGTGAGGGGGGGTGATGCTACCGGTCAGTGCAGGAAGGGCTGGGTGGACCTTTGAGAACTGGAAGCCCACCCCACCCCTTCCCCAAAACCGGGCAACCTGGTCTCCCAACAGGAAGAGTTGGCAAAGGTCCCCTCTCTGGGCAGTGGGAGCTCCGGGGGGGGGGGGCCCCTTCGGGTGGGCTGCATGGTCCATTCCCAGCCCTGACACCCCCTCCCCACCCTGTGACTGTCCTGCCTGGTGGGGCCATGTGGGCGGGGTCCAGGACGCTCATCCCACCACCCTGCCTTTCGACCCCCACCCTGAGTGAACCTGAATCGCTCTGACAAATTGCGTGGGGGGGGGGCGCCTATCCTCCTAGCAGCCTCTTGGCTCTGAAGCAGCCATTTCTGCACCAATCAGAGCGTGTCTGACTGCAACGCCCCCCTCCCCGGAGGGGGGAGACCTGTGGCGTATCTGATGATGCTGACCCAGAATCTCCTCTCTCTCTCTCTCTCTAAGCCAGTGTTTCTCAACCTTGGCCACTTGAAGATGTCTGGACTTCAACTCCCAGAATTCCCCAGCCAGCATTCGCTGGCTGGGGGATTCTGGGAGTTGAAGTCCGGACATCTTCAAGTGGCCAAGGTTGAGAAACACTGCTCTAAGCGTCTGAAGGCCCTGCGAATTTCATTTTGCTATTCAGGAGGACAAAACCTTCACCTGTTGCTGAAATGATATTAAATAGAACAACAATTGGAAGGGACCTTGTAGGTCATCTAGTCCAACCCCTTACACCATTTCTGACGGAGGGCAGTCCAGCCTCTTCTTGAAAGCCTCCAGGGATGAAGCTCCCACAACTTCCGAAGGCAACTTCTCTTCCATCGGTTGATGGTTCTCACTTGTCAGGAAATCCCTCCTTATTTCCAGGTTGAATCTCTCCTTGGTCAGCTTCCATCCATTCTTCCTTCTCTGGCCTTCAGGGGCTTTGGAAAATGGGTTGGAAACCCCCCCTTCTTTGGGGCAGCCCCTCAAGTATTGGAAGACGGCTCTTCTGCTATCCAGTGGGTCTTGTTTTTTGGGGGGGGTGTCTCCTCCTGAAACAGCTTTCTGAATGTCAAATGTGGGGTTCCTGGACCCCCCCTCAGAGAATGGGCCACACTGCCAGGCCTTCCTTGGCTCTTCTCTGCCTCCTCTGGGAGGGGCTCAATGGGAAGCCCAGAACTGGGGGAGGGGGGGGCTCCAGGTGTGGCTTAAACCAGGCGAGTGGAGTAGCTGCTCTGTTCAACTGCCTCTTTCAGCAGATGGGTCACCCTGTGTGTTCGGCACTGGGACACACACACACACACACACACATGTCTTCCCCCCCCCCCCCCAGTCTTCCAGAAGTGCTGGGTCTCCCCATCCTGGCTTCCTCCTGTGCAGCTGCTGGACCTTTTCACCTCTGAGCTTCGCCCTGCTGCCCTCCCCCCCTGTAAATGCTCTGCAAACCCTCAAAAGGGGGGGGGGTTCCATCCGTCACTTAGCAGGACGAACCAATTTCTTTAGTTTGTTCACCACCCCCACCCCCCAATTTAAGGAGCGCCCTTCCTGTCCTCACTGGCCCCTCGCAGTCTCTGCAGAGGGAGGCTGAAGAGCCCACCTGCCCTCAGGCCGGCTGCTCCCTTGCAAGCCCATCAGGAAGGTCCGGTCCCATCTTCGGAGGGGGGGGGGTTGTCAGGCTCAGCCGCTCCCCGCAGCCCCGGATCCCCCAGGCCGTTGCTCTGCTCCGCTGCCACCTTGGGCCCCCGGGATGGCGCTGGTTCTCCTGTCTGGGCAGCCCACGGATGCCTTTCTTGGGGCTGAGAAAGCAGCGGGGCAACAGGTGGAGAAGCGGGGGTGGGGGCCTAAATATTACCCTATGGACGGCGGGAGGGGGGGTCTTGTCAGTCCTGCCTTCTGTTTCACGCGGACTGGGGGAAGGAAACGGGGGGGGGCATGAAGTTTCTCCATTACAGCCTCGGACCCCACAATTTTACTTCCCCACAAATGAAGCCGCTGCGCTCCCTTGTGCGGGGGGGGGGGGCGTAGCAGGCGAAAGTCCCTCCTGCCCACCCTGTGCCTGGAGCTTTCCCGCCTCTGGAGCAAGGGAGCGGGCGAGGGTCGGCGGGCACCGGCGGCTGTTGCCGGGCAGCCGATCGTCCTCGGGGGGGGGGAGTGGGAGGGCGGCTCGGTCCCGCACGAGAGTCGCCCACACCCGGCTCGTCCGCGTCGCCTTGGCAACGGGGAGGCGGATGCCCGTGGCCCGGGAGCGTCCAGCTGGCGCTGCGGCAGTCCCTGCGAGGCGGCCGGGCGGCCGGTTCTCTTGGCGCCTGCGGCGAGGTAAGCAAGCGGAAGGCAGACCCGGCCCCGGGGGTCCCTGCAGCCCGAGAGAGGGAGGGAGGGAGGAGGGGGCTCTGCGGTCTTTCAGGGCGAGGCTCCTCCCACGTGGGCTTCAGCAGAAGAGGCTGCGGTGGCAGAGCTGGTGCAGGCAGCGGGGAGCATCATCGGATGCCCGCCCGCCTCCCTCCCCGCCACCCCGCTGCCTTTCAGGGCAGAGCCTGAGCCGCCGCCTCCCCTGCAATGCAGGGCGTGGGGACGGGGGCTTCATGCAGGGCGCTCTAGGCGGGGACCCGGAGGGTTTCTGCCCCATAGCCGCTTCCTGCTCCTCGGAGGTTGTGCTGGCCACGGGTGCCAAGGGGCGCCGTGTTCCGGGACGGGGGAACCCTAAGGACCGGTTGCTGTGTGGGCACCGGCTGAGGGTGGCGGGGGGAGCGGGCAGGTTGCCGGGCATGATCGCTTCTGTCCGCGCTGTGGAAGCATCGCCACTCAGCCGGGCTGTTCGTTGGCGGTGGGTCCGCTCTGCCCCCCGGTTCCTCCCAAGCGGAAGCCCCGTTTTCTGCAGCGCCGCTGAAGCCCTTTCGCTTTCTGTCCCCGCAGGCGCCGCCCGCCCTCCCTCCCTCGCTCCCCCCGGGGCTGCCATGTCCCCCGCTGCGGGCCAGAGGGAGCAGCAGCCGCTCGGCCGGGCGGCCCCCGAGACGGAGTGCGGCATCTGCTGCGAGAGCTTCGACGGGCGCGGCCGGCGGCCCAAGGTGCTCGGCTGCCGCCACCAGGTGTGCGCCCGCTGCCTGCGCCGGATGGTGGAGGCGGGCGGCTCCCCCGGGCGCCTCTGCTGCCCCTTCTGCCGGCAGGAGACGCCCGTGCCGGGCCAGGACGTGGCGCGGCTGCCGGACAACGGGCGCGTCTTGGCGCTGCTCTGCCAGCCCCCGCCGTCCCCGGAGCTGCTGCTGTGCCCCGGCGTGCTGGAGCCCTTCGCGGACGGCAAGCACCGCTCCTCGGACTGCCTGGTCATCACCCTGCTGGAGGTGCCCGAGGAGGCGGCGGCGGCGGCGGCGGCCCCCGAGGCGCTGGACCTGGTGGACGTGATGCGCTTCTACCGCTCGCCCAGCCTGGCCTCCTTGCCCTGCCACAGCCCGCTACCCCTCTGCGGGGCCTGCGCCACCCAGCGGCCCGTGCCCCGGTTCCTGCTGGGCCTCCTGGGCCTGGTCTACTTCAGCTCCCTGCCGCTGGGCATCTACCTGCTGCTGGTGGAGCGGCCCAGCCTGGGCCTGGGCCTGGTCAGCCTGGTGCCCTCCACCCTCCTGCTCTGCATCTTCTACAGCCTCTGCCAGTGCCTCTGCCAGGACATCTTCCAATTGCCCACCTGAGCTGCCTTGGGAGGCCACCCCCCCCACCTCCACACCCCCTGCCCTTCACACAGACACCCCCTCTGCCCCCAGCCCCCCCCCAGGCACCCCCTGAGGTCCATTTCACGGCAGGGGGCGGGGCTGCTTCCCCCCCCCCAACCGCCTCAGTTCTGTGAAGCTGGTCACCCAGATGGCCCAGACGCCTTTGGTGGCCTTGCGAAGGGCCCAGCCTCCTGCTTCCTTTTTGCAGATGCTCCTATCACCAGGAAGAGCCAAGCTGTTTGGGACTCTGATGGAGAACTGCGCAGGGAGCCTGCTGGCCAAGAAGCGACCCCAAGAGACCCCATTCCTTACAACAGAAATTGAACCTCCATGTATAGTGGCAGCGTACCTGACACCACACCCTGTGTTGCAAAGGACATCCTTTACCTGCCCTTCACTATGAAGGAGATTGCGGCCAGAGACTTTGGGATGGGAGGCTAACTCCCCAGTGGATCCGTCTGGATGGGGGTCTCCCTGGGGGGGATGGTGGGGGGGGGCGATGGGAAAGGGGGTCCCAGGAAAAGAAGCCCAGCGAGAGCCTGTGGCTTCCTCGCCCCAATGGGGCTGCAGGTGCAGGAATAAAACCTGAGCACCGATGATGGAGGAGGCTCCCTCTGCCTCTCCCGGAGGCCCCTCCCAGCTCCTATGCAGCATTCGCACCCCGACCCTGCCTCTGCACCCCAGAGGTTGTGCCAGGCTGGATGCCCAGACCGGCAATGGGCAAGTTCTTGATGCAACGAAGGAAGGGTGCCAGGACCCCCCCTGAGAGTGCTGGGGGGGGGCTGTTGCTAAATGAAGGGCCTCATGGGGAAAGTGGGGGTGCCAGAAGCCATCCAGAAGCCCCCTGGCGATTCAGCTCAAGGCTCTGCATCTTTTCTGGAACACCCCTCCCCCCCTCAGTTTGCCTGGCTTCTTTCCTCCTGGGGGAGAAAGTGGGTGCTCCCTTTCCTCTCTGGCTGAGGTCCCAGAGCACCCCTGAAACCCCCTGTTCCAGCATTCCCCCCCCTCCGTGGTCCCCTTCAGGAAAGCACTCAGGGCCTCCAACACTGCCAAGGCTCATCAAGCCACCAAATCCCAGAGTCAGAAGGGCCCCTTGAGGACATTGAGACCATCCCCACTCAACGCAGGGGCCACCCCAAAGACAAATGACCCAGCCCCCCTCCCCACCCTGCCAGTCTGGCCTCCCTGGTCCTCTGCTCAGGCTCTTCAGGCCCACTGGCTTCCTCCGGCTGAAGGCCCCTCCCTCTGGAAGGCTCCGGGTCCCTTCCCTTTCTGTCTGGGGGCAGCAGCCGAAGGAGGCAGAGGGGCCAGTGGGGGGCAGGAGTTGAGCTTGATTCCCCCAGAGGAAGTCTTGCGGGGAGGCATCCTGGCCTTTGGGAGCCCTCAGTGATGGTCAGGTGGGGGGGCTCTGAGTGAGTCTCTGGCGATGGGTTTGTTTGGTGTTTTTGCAAAGCTGGCCTGGGGTCTCCCTTCCCCCGCCTCCAAAGGCCCTCAAGGGGAATCTGCTCGGCTTTGGTGTGCAAATTCTCTGTCCATGGGGGATCTGCCTGGGGAGACAGGAGTCAGAGGAAAGGAAACGGGGGGGGGGGGCGTCCCCCTCTGCCCTCCAGCCTCTTCCCTCCCCTCTGGGAGCCCTGGGTGCCCAGGAGTAAAGCAAGGGGGCAGGGCAGCTTTGGCTAAGCCCAGGTGGGGAGTGCCAGGATCCCCGCAAGAGAGGCCCCAATCCCCCCTCTCTGCCTTCTGAGGCTCAGCTGAAGCAGGAGGCCTTCCTGTCAGAGAGAGAGGAGGCAGAGGTGCCAGCAAGGCTGAACCTTCCGCCACTAACCTAGGCAGGGAGAGAGTTTGGCTCTGGATTTCACAGGGAACAGCAGGCTTTCAACACAGGGAGCCCCCACAGCCATTCATTTAGCGGCCCTTTGAAGTCACAACGACACGGAAAAATATCACAGCCATTGCAGCATCTCTATGGTCATGTGATCAAACGTCAGAACCCCCCCCCGCTCATATTTATGACTGTTGCCATGTCCCCAGGGGGGGGGGCAGGGTCACGTAGTCCCCTTTTACGACCTTCTGACCAGGAAAGTGTTCCTCCGTGGGGATTCACTTCACAACTGTGGCAAGAGAGGTCGTAAAATGGGGGCAAACCTCACTTAACAGATGTCTCACTTAGCAAGAGGAATGCTGGGCTCGATTGTGGTCGTAAGTTGGGGACCCCCTGCATGGATGCTTTGACGTTGGCAGAGATGGATAAGCCAAGAAAAAGCAAGGCCATTCAAAAGGGTCTCCAAACTTGGCAACTTTAAGACTTGTGGCCTTCAACTGCCAGGGTTGGAGTTTGGAGAGAGCCTGGTCCAGACCATCCATCCAGCCCTTCCAAGCTCAAGGGAGGCACCGGTGACCCTCCTCCCCAACCCTCCCGAGGAGACTCTGGCCCAGGGAGAGGGAAGAGAAGGAGGCAGCCAGCAGCAAGAGGGGGAGGGATTTGGGGCTGGGCTCAGCCCTGATGGGAGCACCCTGAGACCATCTGCAGGCCCAGGGGGGAGAGACGAGCTGCCGGGGGGGGGGGGGGGGGGCTGCTATGAGTAACACTGATATGTGGGCGCCTATCAAGCGAAGATTTGAAAAAAAACAGGTGGGTGTAATAAGAACGCTATTCCTGTTGCATTAATTGTTCTGTCGGTGATCATTCTCACCCTTTCACATTTGAAATGATGATTCACTCATATTTGACTGAACCTAGATCAGTGTTTCTCAACCTTGGCAACTTGAAGATGTCCGGAC